CATCAAGGTCCTGAAATGTAAGTAGTAATATTAATAATATTAATATAGTAATAGTAGTAAGGACTCTACCTGTAGCTTGTTTATTGAAGATGCAGGACAACCAAGTCAACATTGCAGTCAATGACTAGTCTCTCCATGTACACAACAACATCTTATAAAAACATACAGGGTGATAAGAGAAGAATGTCTGAAAAACAAGGCGAAATATGAAGAAAAAGAAACCAGCACAGTCATGCCAGTCAAACATTCTACACCTTAAATAACCAGTCGATGAAGAAACACAGCACCACACCTGAAACACAAAGAAACCTGTATACACAAGAAACTCATCTGCCAAGACCTTTAGGTATTTTCGGTAGTTCCCAACACTACTGAAAGTGAAATAATGATCTCACAGGCAAATATTAGGATTGTATGTGGTGTGTTAAAGACAGCAAACTGAGAAAGTGAACGTACACAATATAAAGAGAACCATGTACATGCAAAAACATTCATGCAGGTACAATAGGTTTTGTGCATAAAAAGCAAAGTCTAATTGTTGACTTTGTGCACAATTCAGTTCACTACTTTTTTAAATTAACGTTGCACGGTTTTACAGATTTGCAAAAAAAACAAAAAGTATCTTCTAAACATAAACAAATAAAACCACCCAGTGCATGTTCCTTTCAATTACATGACAAACTAAAGACAATTAATATTCCTGGGAATTCCAGAGCAGGATAGACATCCTCCTCTTATCCAGATATAATGCAGCTACCTTGAGACTTTTCACAAATGACACAAGAAACACTTTGCTGTGACAACTCTACAAGAGTAGCATCTCAGATTATGTGAGTATTATAAACAAATGCTTTTTTGAAAAATTACATTGAAAATATAATTTTAAAACAAGCTAAATATATTATGTATGTAAAATAGTAAACTGTTGTATTGATCCTTATCATTTATATTTATAAATTAATTTGTTTATGCACGTTGTTTAAGCAGAAGTTGATTTTTTTTTAAAACAGAAATACTGCATTGTGAAAAATATCAAGACAAAAAAATGGAAGCATCAACAAAACTACTACTATGTGTTTGTCAAGAGAGAATGACGGCTACTTAATATTACATTATTTACATATGAGGATATTTAACTCAACAGAAAGCAGCAACAAAATCAATGTTTCTATGATTTACTTCCTTTGATCAATGAAAGATGTAAGCAATGAGTGGAGTATTAAAATACTCATTTCTGATTTTGTTTGAATAAATTGGATTATTTAACAATGTAAAATGCAAACACACATTAAAAAAAATAATAATAATAATTCAGAAAGGAAACAAATATTGTTATTTTAAAGTTAATAGTTACAATATATTATGTAATGTGTTATTCCCACAAGTGCAACAGCATGGAGCATCCTCCCAGAATAACATAAGACAATCTTCATATGCATTACTCACTTGATTCAGAAAACCAGAATAATTGGGTGTTTAGAACTACATTAAAACACTACACAAAAAAAAAAAGAAGAAGATTTTATTAATGAGACAGTACAATAATAATCCATCTTTTGAGATAGTATCTCTCTTACAGCGATACACTTTGATAAACCTATAATAATGATTTATATTTAAGAGTGGTTGGGATGGATTGCATATATATATGTCATTTCCCCATGTTTGTCATGTTATATTTGTAACTTCGGCTAGTCTGGTTTGTGTATAGTGTGGGAGTATAGTGAAGCTGAAATAAATATAGGCCATATTGACCAAACATAACAGCATTCACAACAAAAAGGGAATAGGTGACAGAGTACAGGTACATCTCAATAAATTAGAATGTCATGGAAAAGCAGGTCATGGAGGTGGCATGGAGGTGATCAGTTTGTGGCACTGCTGAGGTGGTATGGAAGCCCAGGTTTCTTTGACAGTGGCCTTCAGCTCATCTGCATTTTTCGGTCTCTTGTTTCTCATTTTCCTCTTGACAATGTCCCATAGATTCTCTATGGGGTTCAGGTCTGGTGAGTTTGCTGGCCAGTCAAGCACACCAACACCATGGTCATTTAACCAACTTTTGGTGCTTTTGGCAGTGTGGGCAGGTGCCAAATCCTGCTGGAAAATGAAATCAGCATCTTCAAAAAGCTGGTCAGCAGAAGGAAGCATGAAGTGCTCCAAAATTTCTTGGTAAACGGGTGCAGTGACGTTGGTTTTCAAAAAACACAATAGACCAACACCAGCAGATTACATTGCACCCCAAATCATCACAGAATGTGGAAACTTAACACTGGACTTCAAGCAACTTAGGCTATGAGCTTCTCCACCCTTCCTCCAGACTCTAGGACCTTGGTTTCCAAATGAAATACAAAACTTGCTCTCATCTGAAAAGAAGACTTTGGACCACTGGGCAACAGTCCAGTTCTTCTTCTCCTTACCCCAGGTAAGATGCCTCTGACATTGTCTGTGGTTCAGGAGTGGCTTAACAAGAGGAATACGACAACTGTAGCCAAATTCCTTGACACGTCTGTGTGTGGTGGCTCTTGATGCCTTGACCCCAGCCTCAGTCCATTCCTTGTGAAGTTCACTCAAATTCTTGAATCGATTTTGCTTGACAATCCTCATAAGGCTGCGGTTCTCTCGGTTGGTTGTGCATCTTTTTCTTCCACACTTTTTCCTTCCACTCAACTTTCTGTTAACATGCTTGGATACAGCACTCTGTGAACAGCCAGCTTCTTTGGCAATGAATGTTTGTGGCTTACCCTCCTTGTGAAGGGTGTCAATGATTGTCTTCTGGACAACTGTCAGAGCAGCAGTCTTCCCCATGATTGTGTAGCCTAGTGAACCAAACTGAGAGACCATTTTGAAGGCTCAGGAAACCTTTGCAGGTGTTTTGAGTTGATTAGCTGATTGGCATGTCACCATATTCTAATTTGTTGAGATAGTGAATTGGTGGGTTTTTGTGAAATGTGAGCCAAAATCATCACAATTAAAAGAACCAAAGACTTAAACTACTTCAGTCTGTGTGCACTGAATTTATTTAATAAACGAGTTTCACAATTTGAGTTGAATAACCGAAATAAATGAACTTTTCCATGACATTCTAATTTATTGAGATGCACCAGTATTACTGTCTCTGGTGGGACATGTGATGTGCTGTCTGTATTTTGGCAGTTCACGGGAGAGATTTGCTTTATTAAAGTCCCCGAGAATGATTAAAACAGAGTCCGGGTGTTGTTGTTCTGTGTCTGTGATCTGATCAGCGAGTTTCTGTAAAGCGGAGCTCACGTGTGCTTGCGGAGGAATGTACACACAACTCAAATTGTGAAACTTGTGTATTAAATAAATTCAATGCACACAGACTGAAGTAGTTTAAGTTTTTGGTTCTTTTAATTGTGATGATTTTGGCTCACATTTAACAAAAACCCACCAATTCACTATCTCAACCAATTAGAATACTTCATAAGACCAATAAAAAAACATTTTTAGTGAATTGTTGGCCTTCTGGAAAGTATGTTCATTTACTGTACATGTACTCAATACTTGGTAGGGGCTCCTTTTGCTTTAATTACTGCCTCAATTTGGCGTGGCATGGAGGTGATCAGTTTGTGGCACTGCTGAGGTGGTATGGAAGCCCAGGTTTCTTTGACAGTGGCCTTCAGCTCATCTGCATTTTTTGGTCTCTTGTTTCTCATTTTCCTCTTGACAATACCCCATAGATTCTCTATGGGGTTCAGGTCTGGTGAGTTTGCTGGCCAGTCAAGCACACCAACACCATGGTCATTTAACCAACTTTTGGTGCTTTTGGCAGTGTGGGCAGGTGCCAAATCCTGCTGGAAAATGAAATCAGCATCTTCAAAAAGCTGGTCAGCAGAAGGAAGCATGAAGTGCTCCAAAATTTCTTGGTAAACGGGTGCAGTGACGTTGGTTTTCAAAAAACACAATGGACCAACACCAGCAGATGACATTGCACCCCAAATCATCACAGACTGTGGAAACTTAACATTGGACTTCAAGCAACTTGGGCTATGAGCTTCTCCACCCTTCCTCCAGACTCTAGGACCTTGGTTTCCAAATGAAATACAAAACTTGCTCTCATCTGAAAAGAGGACTTTGGACCACTGGGCAACAGTCCAGTTCTTCTTCTCCTTAGCCCAGGTAAGACGCCTCTGATGTTGTCTGTGGTTCAGGAGTGGCTTAACAAGAGGAATACGACAACTGTAGCCAAATTCCTTGACATGTCTGTGTGTGGTGGCTCTTGATGCCTTGACCCCAGCCTCAGTCCATTCATGTTGAAGTTCACTCAAATTCTTGAATCGATTTTGTTTGACAATCCTCATAAGGCTGCGGTTCTCTCGTTTGGTTGTGCATCTTTTTCTTCCACACTTTTTCTTTCCACTCAACTTTCTGTTAACATGCTTGGATACAGCACTCTGTGAACAGCCAGCTTCTTTGGCAATTAATGTTTGTGGCTTACCCTCCTTGTGAAGGGTGTCAATGATTGTCTTCTGGACAACTGTCAGATCAGCAGTCTTCCCCATGATTGTGTAGCCTAGTGAACCAAACTGAGAGACCATTTTCAAGGCTCAGGAAACCTTTGCAGGTGTTTTGAGTTGATTAGCTGATTGGCATGTCACCATATTCTAATTAGTTGAGATAGTGAATTGGTGGGTTTTTGTTAAATGTGAGCCAAAATCATCACAATTAAAAGAACCAAAGACTTAAACTACTTCAGTCTGTGTGCACTGAATTTATTTAATACACGAGTTTCACAATTTGAGTTGAATTACTGAAATAAATGAACTTTTCCACGACATTCTAATTTATTGAGATGCACCTGTATGTAACAAAACCGGAATCATACATGCCATTTTATTTTTTAACCGCTAGAGGGCCAAATGTTACATTGTAACTTTAAACAAAAAATGTAATTACTGTATTATGAAGCAAGATTAAACCAAACTATTAATAATAATAATAATAATAACTAACTCTTAAACTGAATTTACAGAGTTTTGAAAATGGAAGCATCTGGAAAACTGCTGTCATCAAGACTGCTTTCACTGCTTAAGAACAGACAATGGGAAAGAGATGATGTTGTTAAGTTGTTTAAAGCCCTCGTGAAAGAATTTAATGGCAAGAATGAAGATTTTCACACATGGATGATGAAAATCATTCATCAAGTGGAGATTCACAAAATCCAAGTGTCGGATTTGACTTTTCAAAATGACAGTAAGATTGTGGATCATATTGAGGCCAAGATTAATGAAATAGCCACAAACACTAATGAGAAAACACTGGATGAGATTGTGGAGGAAATTCGTAGACAAGGAAACATTGATGAAAGAATTGTGGCATGTGTGAAAAATACTGTGTCTTCTGTGTCCACATGTCTGTCAGCTTCTTCAGCACCACATCTACAAGGAATAAAGCAAAGTCTGTTTAAGCTCTGCAAAGCTGTAGAAAAGACAAAGAAATATAAACCTCGACTGACTCAGATGGTGAGCTGGTGCATTCTGGCTCTTTCTGAATCAAGTCGGCTGGTTCAGGTTTTAACAGGAGAAGGAAAGTCGTGTATCGTGGCAATGTTTGCAGCATATCAGGTCACAATGGGAAAAACCCCTGACATCATCTCCAGTTCTCCTGTACTTGCTGAGAGAGACGCTAAAGAATGGTCTGCCTTTTATAAGAGACTGAATATCACTGTTGACGTCAACACAAATAAATCAAAAGATAATGAGCTGAGGAAGTGCTATGAATGTCAGGTGGTTTATGGTACGACTGACAGTTTTGCAGGTGATTTTCTGAGACAACGCTTCCACAGAAAAGACGTGAGACCTAAGAGAGAGTTTCAGTGTGTTATAGTGGATGAGGTGGACTCACTAATGCTGGACAAAGGTCTTGAAGTGGTCTACTTGAGCACTGAGGTTCCGCTAATGGAATCTCTTAATGGAATGTTGGCAAATATCTGGTTTGTCGTCAACCAGCTGAAGTGTTTAGACACTGGAGAAATGTTAGGACCCATTCAGCTCTTCTCCCAGGTTCTGTCTGAAATCATTACTGAAAATAAAAACATTGATCAACTCAGTATTGTTCAGAATGCTGTAGATGAAACAAAACAACTAGATAATGCAAGTGTTGGCCAAACAGAGGCATTTCTAAACATGTTTGTGAGAACATTTCCTGAGTATTTATTTCAACTTTACCAGGAAGGGCCTGATGGGAATTTACAGAAACTAAATGAGATTAGTCCCACAGGTACATATATGAAACAAGAAATATCTGTTCTTCTCCTGGGAAATGGAAAATGTCGCTTAGTGTACTATGAGAAGGACTCTCTAGTCAAGTCACTGGGTAAAATGATCAAAGAGTGTTTGCAGTCTGAATCAAAGGAACACAATGAATCTCGTATCCCGGGCCTTCAAGACCTCATTAATGAAAAAGTACAAACTTGGATTGAAAATGCTCTGCTAGCCACCAAAATGACTCTGGGCAATGAATATGTCCTTCACGGAGATGGAGTCTCTCCTGTTGATTACGAAAGCACTGGTGTTGTACAAAACAACATGAAATGGGGGGAAGGACTTCAGCAGTTTCTGGAGATGAAACACCAAACTAAACTGTCCAATATGAGTCTAATAACAAACTTCATGTCTAATGTGGGTTTATTTAAGAGATACTCAAACAAGATCTTTGGAATCACAGGAACTTTGGGGGACCAAACCGAGCTTGATATGCTGAAGAAACTCTACAGTGGCATTGACACCTGTAAGATCCCCTCATTTAGGCGAAGGAAACTTTATGAACTTGGAGGCATGGTGATAAAAGACGTGAAAGATTGGATCAAGATGGTCTGTATTGTTGTTCAGGATCAAGTGTCCTCCACCATCTATCGAGGTCCACGAGCAGCTCTCGTCATCTGTGAAACAATCAAACGTGCAGAAATATTTTACAGAGGCCTTGCAAACACCATCCCATTAGACAAACTAAAACTTTATGTGAATAACAACATAGATAACGCTAAAATAACAGATTCAACAGTCCAAGCAGGAGATGTCATCATTGCAACTAATCTAGCAGGTCGAGGTACAGACCTAAAGGTTTGTGAAAGCGTAAATGAGGCAGGAGGTCTGTTTGTGATGCAAACCTTCTTACCTCTGAATGTCCGTGTAGAAGACCAAGCCTTTGGACGAACGGCTCGTCAAGGGAGTCCAGGATCTGCTCAAATCATCATGTGTGCCAGTCATTTTTCTGACTTGACCCAACAAGTGTTGAACATAAACACACCTCTAACCAGCTTACTCATACTTCAGTGTTGCTTAATAACACAAGTGTTACATTGGATCATACAAATGTTACCCTGGGTCACAGAATATCAATTTGAGGAAAATGTTAATCGCTACCTGGGAAATCACAGTTCTGAAACTCACGAGGAAATGATCAGTGCTCTGACATGCCTTTTAACCATGAATTCATTCCCATTTCAGGGACGTAATCTGGAAAAGGCAAAAGAAGCCAGAAACACAGCGGTTAACACCAGACTGTCAAGGTTTCTTGAAAAAAATATTCCAGAAATCATAAAAAAGGAAGAGTTTTTTTCTGTTTACCTTGATGTTTTGGATAATGTTTATGAAGATGTTTTATCAGACCAGCGTGATGTAATTGTTCCCTGTCTTCATGAGTGTTGGGGTTTGTGGCTCCTGATACACTTCAGTGAGGAAAAGACCATTGAGATGCTGAAGGAACAGCTGAAGGTGGACTTATCAAGTGCAAAGGGTACACTTTTGAGCAAACAGTCCCCATCCTCCATGGTCTACTATTACATCAGGTCTGGGAACAACTTCCGTGAGAAGGGACACTTTACTGAGAGCATTGAGATGTACACCAGAGCTTTGGAGGATGGTGCATCTGGAGAGATTATACCTCTTTATAATCGTGCACTTGCCACTATCAGAAAGAAAGACACTGGATATATTGCTCAAGCATTGGCTGACCTGGAAAAGGCTGACAAAGCAATAGTCTCCTGTAAGTCACATCTGGCACAGATTCTGACTTACATTAAATTATCAAGTCAAGAACCAAGAGCAGAAGGTAGTACTTTACTCACCACTCAGTTCCAAATGAAGAGTATGGTTGTAGATCTACTCCAGATGAACATTCAAGATGCTGTAATGAAGTTGAAGAGAGCTGAAAGCAGAGGAGGAAATGTGAGTTTGACTGAAAAACTTACATTCTTTCTTGCAGAACACTTTGTTTTCATTCCTCCAAGACTTCTGAAAGAGCTGCTAATGGAATTAATGCATGTCAAGTCATTGGGTCTTGACACCATTTTCTCTTTGGACACCATGTTTTCTTTCAGTGGCTTTGTGTCAAAGATCTTAAAACGGTTTGAAATGTAACACTTCTTTCAGATATCGAAACAAACAAGTTAGTTATTAGTGGTCAACATTACATTACAGTAGTGCCTCTAAGTGTATATGTTTGTTTAATTATTTATATTTCAATTGTTATTCTGAGGACTTCATATGCTGACACATTTAATACTTGTAATGTCATTCTGAAAATTATAATTTAAAGTTAAAATTGCAAATCATGAAATATGTTACAAATGTTGCCTACACAGAGTACATTTTAATAAAGATCACACCCTACTATGGTTAGCGATTAAAATAGAAAGATATTTTGTGAATTTATATAACTTTTATGGCTGATCATCAACATGCATGCTCTATCTAAGTGCACATTTCTACAAGTGAAAAATGAGCCACCTTTTTTATTTCAGATACTTTTTAAATATACATTTTGTAGTATCATTGTTCCAAATTATCTAACAACAGCAAGTAATTAGCATAATCAAAATAATATTGTGTGCATGTTAACATTTAGAACATCTGATTTATCTGAATATATATAAATATATACAGTGGCGTAGCGCAAATTGCATAGGCCCCACTGCAAGAGTGAAGGTGGGGTCCCTCACCGCATTATCAAATCAGTGAGTACAAGTGCCTTGCCATTTACTATAGTTTATTTTTGTGTCAAAACAATTTTCTGATATTTGTTGTTGTGAGCCTAAGTCATTTGTTCGTTGTTTCCATTCAGCCCTCTTGTGTTCTATCAGTGTATGTGTATGTTTGTGTTTCAGATGGGCAGTTCCTTGAGATCATTTGCAGGAGGCTGCGATTGGTTCTTCTCCTCACCTGACCCAGATATAAGGACTGCCCCAAACATTCAATCTGGGCCATGATTGTGCCATTGTGTGTGACTCTGTAGTTTGCTTTTGTGTCTTACCATCGTCGTTCGTTTAAGTCTTTGAGTGTTGTAGCGTCTGGACCAATCAAACACACAATTTTTCATTTGATTTAACAAATCAGTTCTTCATTAGATTAACAAATCGCCACAGTCCCCTCACCCAATAAACTGAATGTCAGGATGTCTGCAAATGACACCAAACCATGGCAACCCTGACACCAGATACTTTTACGACCTCATGGAATGTGAGTGGGGAAAAGCACTGTCTTTTCATAAGGAAAATCCCCAAGGCACAGTAGGAATGGACTTTTCTACTAATTAATTCATAGGAAAACTTTTATTTGAATGAACACACATAGCCTTCAGGTCCTTGGGTATATTATTGCTGTCTTGTATATTATCTGTTGTATTGTAGACTATTCTAGGCATGTTTAGGATAGAACCACTCATCCATGTAAGCTTACATACAGTATATAACCCTACCATGTTTAGTATTTATGAATTTGTATTCGGATGATCTAATTGAGAGTGTATATTGTATGTTTACACCTACGCAACATATTAGTGTTCTAAGAGTCTTTAGTAATTTTGATCCAAGTTTCATATGCAAATTACCATGCTTTCAAACAAAGGGCCATAAAAACGCCCCAGTATCTCAGAACTCCCACTTGGGATTCCGGACTTTC